AAATGGGAGCCCTTAAAACAAGGGGGGGGGGCGGTGCTTAAAACAGGCATGTTCACACATTAGGGCAGGAAAACACATATTAAGGGCTCTATAGGTGGCTCACAGATAATCTTCTTCCATCAAGGATTATCTCTATTTCATTTTGGGCAATTCATGTTGCAGTCAGAAACAAGCTGGAAGTGATTCTCCATCATCCCAGGAGGCACCGCTCTCAGCTGGTCAATCTTCCCCCACAGTGATAGCACCTAAAGGTAGAATCCCTTTCCTCTCCCATTTCTGGTGCCCAGGGCTCCCCATGTCCCTGCATCTTACTTGCACTTTCAACACTGGCCCAGGGGAGCAGGCAAGGAAGGGGAACCCACCTGCCCAGACACCATCACTGTGGCTGCCACGCAACTACTGCCCAGAGAACAGTGTCCTGGGTGGGTTTGTCTTCTCTGTTTGCTTTCCGGGACAGTTCTGGGAGCTCTCATGGGGGTGGTGGGTGGTCAACTGGGATGCGAGGAGGGGCAGCCGATCTAAAGGTGCAGGGGGACTGACCAAATCTGACAGCAAGTGGTAGGTGGGGCGGAGGGGCAGGTGGCATGGTGCAGTGGGTCCAATCCAGGCTGGCAGGGTGGGGAGGTGAGGAGTGGACACTGTGGCAATCCTGGTACAGGAGGGTGTGGGCAATGTGGTGGGCCTAATCTGAGGGTGTAGGGGGGGTTGGGTTGGGCACTGCAGCAGGCCCAGCTGGGTGCCAGCCTCCCCCACCTACATACGCACACTCAGATCAGGCCTGCCCTCCCCCCACACACTTCAGATCCCTGCTCACTACAGCACAGCCAACAGCTCCTGGGTCACTTACAGCTCCAAGCACTGTCCTGGCAGAGTAAGTAAGGACCAGAAACCTGCCTGCCAGGCTGGGCCCAGTGGCACTGGGGACAGTGACAGTGGTTGGGTAAGGGGTGCCCTTTATGTTCCTGCTCCCCCTGGGTCAGTGCCTGCAATGCAGGTAAACTGGGGTAAGCAGTGAGGGCCATAGGGGATGGGCAGGGAGGGAGCCCCACGATGGGGAAGGTGGGGGACTGTAGCTAGCTTAATTCAGGCTGGCAGGAGGAGGGGTGGGGAGAGGGGGCTGGATATGGCAGGCCTAATGGGATTCTGCCAAGCCCAAGCTACCCACAATCTGGGCCACCTATCCTGGCCCTGAGAGCAAGCAAGTGGGGCAGTCACAGAGCTATCTTGGCTTAGCCATACCCCTGCTTGCCAGAACTTTTATGGGCAGCTCAGAACAGAGCATATTATAGGAGTATTAACCCTTAACATGTGACTTATCAAAACATGTGCTAAATTTTAAACTGATTAAAATTAGCACATGCTACATGGAAGTATAAGAAAGCCCTAAGGTGACTGTGCCTTCTGAAACATAAAGGCAAAACATGAGAACCCTTTGATAGTTATTTACAGCTAGGCTTGTAGTTAAATAGTTAGTAGAAATGTCACCACTGGCACCATATTCCTGACTTGAATATTTCATCTATGATCAATTATTTAATCTATTATCAATACGACTGCTGAGAATGGTGAATGGAAATAATTTCTCAATTATCACATTGTTGCTCTTGAACTAGAGATGATTCTTTTTCCTCTGCATAGTTAATAGATAAGATCACCATATCATGTCATCTCAAAAAGTTGTGTACTGCATTCTCTCTGATCAGATCATTGTTATTTTGCTACCATCAAGGATGAATTCTTGGGGGTACATTCATGATGGGATTTTATGTTTCTGAATTAAAGTTGCTGTGGCTACTAAAATCTTTGTTATTAGAGCTTGTTGGTCTGTAAGCACTTAGCTAGGTAGAGGAGCACCTGGTCTATGGACTAGACTTGGGTGGAAGATAGGCACTGAGTTCCTCAGTCCTGGCAGTGACATCCGTTTTGGGCCTACAGAGAAACAGACACTCTAGGTCCTGGAACATTTTAGTTGTCAAAATGAAGGTGTGTCTGTAGACTTCAAGGCACCAAAAAAAAAAAAAAAAGTGGGGTGGGGGTGGGAAATGTCGTCTTGGATTTAGGTGACTAAATTCTACTTAAATACTCCTTTTTTGTTTGGGTAAGGTGTTTCTATTTGTTAGGGGTTTTTTTATTCTCCCATGATACTGGGTTTGATTGCACTTGTACTCTGCTCCTTCCATGAACATACTTCTAAGAGCATTGTAGAGGGGTTAATGAAAAACAAAGAAACAAAAATGCCTGACAATATCCCTTACAGTTAGAAAAGTGTTGCCCTGTCATGCTAAGAAACAACAGCATGGAGAGATGGTTTAAGGTCAGACAAGTATTTAGAAAGTGAAGAATGGAAGCCAGAATTTTTTTACTTGTACTCTTCTCTTTTAACCATATGGTGCTCTCTTTTTCCATTACAAAATGAAAAAAAAAACCCTCTTCATTATTCTCTCTAAAGTTTTAACAAATAACTTTAAAGTACTGTATGTGCCCTGGTGGTTGTACAAGTCCATCCTTGCTGACACAAAATTTAATTCTTTTTGTCTGGCAAACAGTGAAATACTGCACTGTAGAAACAAAGCTGGAATGCATACTATGTGTTTCTTACTGAAATAAATGACATTACCAGAATCAAGGTTTCCATCTAACTTGTGTGACTTAAATAAAACTGTTGGTCAGTATTTTAAAGGTTTTGTTTTAAAAGGCATATCTCTCACTCTCAACCTCCCCTCCCCCCACCATAAAATCCCCCAAACCCTAATATTTGTGGTTTATCCAGCCTTTAAAGTACAAAAGAGGACAGACATATTTCACATGTGAATCTGCCAGGGAAATGAAATAGAGAAATGCTCTTGATTTTGATCTCACTGTTTTATTTTTCATTGCCAAAGAGATATGTTAGGGGGGGGGGGGGTTGTTTGTCCGTTTGTTTTTTGAACTGTAGATCTTTTTTAAACTGTTATTTTGAAATGAATGGACTTAAAAAAAAAAAAAAAAAAAAAAAAAAAAAGATTATAAACTGAGTTAAGCAATGCATGGGTGATGATGGTTGTTCCTGTTGAGTTTTCACATTATCTGTCATCATCCTTGGATCAGAAGCCATTTTACTTCACTTCTTTTTAGAAATGAAAACTTATTGCTATTTTTATTTTTCAGTCTGACTGGTGGTTCATCTTTTTGAAATTTTGTTATAGACAGTTCTGTGCCCTGATGCTAAATTAGCTCTGGGATAGGAAGATAGTTTCTCTGTCCAAAGGGAAGTCAGTCTGATTGAAGGGCTTCTCAGTTCTCCACATTAAATGTTTTAGAGAACATCCTGAAATGCATGTTCCCATGTCTGTACAGCTGGGACTAGCCACATTGGCAGCTCTGTTCCTCTATCTCAAAGAGACTTTTACTGTATGAAAAAAATTGGAAAAAGGAAAGCTTGGGTAGCAATGAGCTAAAAGTTCCATTAAATTAATATCAGTGTCATAAAAGTGCTGTGGTAAAGAGGGAAAAATGTAATGCATCATCAAGTTATGTCATTTTTTTAACTATTCCATACTCCTTTAAAACCCATATGTTTAAAAGGTTCTATATACTTTACATGAGATTATACATTACAACTAGCCCATCTTAAGGGCACTTCAGACTTGAACAATTATACTTTATTAACAAGTGCAAAATGCCCTTTAAGCATCTTAAACTTTGCCCAAGGTGGCATAAACTTTATCTTCGACTTGTGCTATCTAACTTAAGTTAACTTAACTTTTCTTCCCCCATAAATTGCCCCCACCCCTGGGTCCCAAATCACCCCCTTCACCACCAGATCAATACTCTGCCATCCTACTTGCCCTTTCTACCCCTCATTGGCCCCTCCACCCTGGATCATTGTTTTGCTACTCCAGTCCACCCAAGAGTGGTGGAGGTGCTGGTCTCTAGGTTCCCCTTTCCTGCCTTCTGTTGGGATCCCAGTAGACCATGGTTCCCCAGCATGCCCAGATCCAGTGCCTGTCAGGCCCTATAACTGAAGGGGAGTAGGGGGAAGGAGGGGGGGTGAGAGAAAGCAAGGAGCTGGATCCAAGTACATAGGGTTGGCATGGGTTTTGGGGAGCCCAGGAACAAGCAGGGAGGGGGAATCCCCCACCCATGCTGCTGCTGCTGGCACTGCTGTCAGGCTGATTGTGGTGACAGTGTGGCAATCTGGGGGTGGAGGGGCTGATCACAGAGTGGAGGAGTGATCTGGGGGCTGATATTGTGGCGGGGGGGGGGAATGGGGGGATTTGGGGGATGAATTAAATGATCCAAGTGGCATGGGGGGGCCCTTCCCCTGTTCCTTCCTGGTGTATACTGTGGCTAGAGAGCCAGTGAGCAGGGCAGGCATGGAACAGACTTGCGTATCCTAGTCATGCCCCTGCTTGCTAGGCCTCTGGCATCAGGTCTGAGTAATGCACATTAGAGAGCTTATTAACCCTGAATGTGTGATTGATCATTAGCACTAGTTAACCTTAGTTAGTTAACCTTAGCACAAACTAATATTCCTTAGAATTTGCATTTGTTAACTCTATTGTATAATTTCACCCTTGGTTGCATATTTCATGGGGGACAAATTCTATTTCTTAGTGGGATTATATGGTGGAACAAAGTGTGGGGACTTTTCATGGAGATTTTTGTCTTTTTTTATAGCTTTTCTGCGGACGGTTATAAAGGAGAAGAAAACAGGAGCAATATGTAAACCCTAGTATTTGACTAGAAGAAAAACACATTCTTGATAATGACTCGTATAACTTACTCAGGTGTGGCAGACAAATATTGAATATAGTAGCCTTTAATGAAGAATAAATCTTAATTAATGCAAAACAATCTAGTCAGAAATTAGGTACATATAAAATCTGTTCAGTTCTAAAGAAGGAAAAATTATTTTCAATCTCTATTCCCCATTAGGTCCTTTGAGCTTGGATAATGAAAGATTTAGCACCATATGCAATAAAACACTTCCTGAATCTGTGTTCATTTTTTCAAAACAGAATCTGAAGCTGCTATCTTAGAAACACAGAAGCAAGGCACAGAGGATATTCATCAGGTACAGGTAAGATATTAGCCAAGTAATATACATCATGTATTATACTTGCAATAGTAAGATTTGGAATCTACATTAGACACTGTTTGGAAACAATTACCACATTTCTGTAGACTGACACTGCATTTTTGGTAATGTCCGTTTCCTTCTAAGTTTTGAATTAAATTGTTCTATAATATTTGTTCATAATCTATATTCTGTTCATAGAACTGAAAATAGTTATTGTAAGAAGTAAGTTTCTATTGTCTTCCCTCAGAAGTGAACAGTAGTCAGCTTTTGCACATATTAACCATTTATCAGTTGCTATGTCTTATTTGATTCCGTTACTGGTATTTTTTTTATTCCAATTATAGCCAAAACTACATGTGCAAAACTTTACCTTTAGTGCTTCCCTGTGACACCAGTAATACTCTAAAGACGTGGCTTTGTCCATTTACTATTGGTTAAAAAATAAATCTTAACTAGAAACTAAAACTGACTACTATGATATGGAGGGTTAAGTAGGATTTTTTTAATTGAAATCATTGGAATATATAAAAAATAATGCATGTTGGCTTTGCATCTTTGTGAATAGTCACATTGATCTTTTGGGCTAATATGGACAAGAGCCAGCTTCTTAATGCAGCAAATCTTGGATTACTAGCCATTTGCCCTCCCAACTCAAAACATTAAATAAATCCCATTTCCATGAATTAGGCGCCAGCACTTTCTGAAAGTTCAGCCTTCCTAAAGCCTATATTGTTGGTAGTCAGAAATTGCTAGTCATTTTAAGAAAGGATAAGCATAAAGGGTCAAGTCACCACTAATAGTAAAAATATATTTCACTCTAAAACAAATATACTGGTGATCAGAAACCAATTCATATTTCCAGCATGGAGAATCTCTTAAGAGTATTTTGCATTTTTCTCATATATATGAATCTTAAGAATGGCATGCATAAGTAATGTGTTTAGGGGGAAATTGAATGCTTTTTCAGTGCTGCTTTCCTTTTATTCTCTCCACTCTGTCAACACTCTATTACTTCTTTTAAATAACTGTCTCATTCTGTCACTCCCATTTTTCCCATCTTAGCCTTGCACATAGAGAGGCAGATTTGTGAGGGTTTGGTTCTGTTTCTGCATAAGAACAAAGGATCGTAGGCCTAATTTTGTCACAGCATGCTAGCAGTAGACATTTTGGTTACAACTGTCCATCCACCAAGTTCCAGATGTCTGGAACAGTAGGTGAGATTTATCATGTGTTTGGAGATTACTTAAATCTACAACCTTTGAAACCAATTGTAGTTACTTCAAAGTAAGCGGTATTAGACCAATGCTGTGAATAGTAATGCAAAAGTGATAATTAAAAGGAAATATTATGCTCCATGTTCTAGTCTATCTACAAAGAATGCAAGCAGACAGTTATCCGAGACCACTGGCAGAAGTTGAATTAAAGGCAGGATAGGATCTGCACTGTCCCAACAATCAGATTTCCTGCCATGCAACATGTGCATGGCAGGAGGTATGATTGCAGAATTGAGCTTCAGATTCCATACTGCTGGTGCAGGGGAGCACATGATCATGATCCCAGGCTCCCCCTGCATCAGCAAATCACACAGTAGGCTCCATGTACTCCCCTGGCTAAGACCTTCAATCAGCTGATCCAGGCTTCCACAGCTGGGACCCTCAGTCAGCTGACAAGTGTTTCCAACTGTAGAAGCTCATTGCAGCCAAAGGCTCAATGCACTCCCACAGCTGGGAACCCCAGTCAGCTGACTAGCACTCCCAGTCTCTGGAACACGTGGGAGGCTTGAAGGGCTCCTGTTTGCTCAACAGGCTGGGACCACTGGCCACAGTTTCAATCAAAGGCATGATAGGAACCAGCTACAAAATTATTGTACATTTTGTTTTAAAACTTTGTGGCTTATTCCCCATTTTATCACACCATTAATTGAATGATCATGTGGCCAGGTTAGTGCTTAAGACACAATTAAGCAGTTAATTGCATTTTAAGTGTAATGTCCATCAGGCCATGTTGTTCTAGTTCTTGAAAAAAACTGTTAAAACAAAAAGGTTGATGGCTCCTCCTCTTTGCTGATTCTTTGTGACTCAGTCTTAGGACCAAGACTACGTACAGATGTTCAAAAAGCCCAAGATGGATTTGACCTAAGTTGCATAGTTTTCTGTAAGTGGCTTATGTTAGATTGATAGCAAACAGTATACACATCTGCCATTTGGTGGGGGAAGCATGCAGGCTGCCTGCACTGGCCCAAGGCATGCAGGTTGGGGGCACTCATGCATGCCTCTCAGCATGCTCTGTGGGGTCCCTATGCTGCCAGAAGCTGCTGAGTGCCTGAGCCACCCCGATTGGCTTCTGGGCATGGGCAATCATAACCCTCACACGTCTCCCTGCCCTAGTACTCCAGGACCCTGTATCCGCAGGCCAAAAAAGCCTTGCAGCACCCCAGGTGCCCATGGCCCAGGCACCTGCTGTGGTGGCTGATCCATGGAGATTACAGGGTTGCCTCCATGTAGGCCCACTCCCAATATTTTGCCTTTTGCCACCCTGATCCATCAGAGGTGAGCTGCCCACACTAGCTCCTGCTTGGGGAGGGTTTGAGGGGGGAAGAGAAATCCATGCTGGAGTCTAGGTGGCAGGATGCCTGGCTCTGGTCACTGAGAAGTGATGTGTAGGAGCAAGAGTCAGACTCAGCGTGGCTGTTCCTGAGCATAAGGGAATGGGGATCCCTGTCTGGGTGTGCAGGATTCAGGGTTGGGTTCTGTAGGGCTGTGTCTCAGTATGGGAGCATTGGGGTCCCTGCTTTGGGTGTGCAGGAGCCAGCATCAGGCTCTGTGGGGCTATACCCAAGTACAGGGGTATAGGGGTCCTTGGCTGGGTGTGCAGGAGCCAGGATTGAGCTCTGTAAGGCTGTGCCGGAGTTCTGGGGTTCTCCTGGGCTGTGTCAGGGGGTGTGTGTGTGTGTGTGTGTGTGTGTGTGTCCCCTGGTGCTTCTTAGGGCTGACAGATGACCAAAAGCAGGAGGTGGAGTGGGGGAAAGGGTTTGTGTTGGCTCAATTCTGGGAGAGCTCAGGGGCAAGGTCTGCTGGGTGCTGTGCCAGAGCAGCTGAGTGCAGACCTAGTTCTAGTGGACCTCCCTGCAAGGAGATGTTGCGGGAGATAACAAAGGAGGCTGGGATACTGGAGGACAGTGATCTAACTTAAATCAGTAGGGGAGCTGGTACAGGGATCCGGTACAGAAGTTCCATTCACCAGTCTAACCTAAATCAATTAGATTTGAGTGAACATTGAACTAGGTCCATGTTAGATCAAGTTCTGCCATCTTTAGACTGGTCTATGTGCACCAAATTCTGTACAGTTATAGGTTTAGATATATTTCTAATCACTTAGATTAGTCTATGTGTAATGTCTGTGCCTAACCTAAGATGATTATGTTACAAAAGTAAATGCACTAATTGAATTTTCAGGGATTTGGACAGAGTGGAATAGAATTGTACTTGGGTACCCAAGTCCACTTCCATGCCTAATAGATGGAATAGCATTTGGCCCCACAAAACTAGTTAATATAGAGAATTCAGGGTAGATTGGATTTGTTCAGCATAAGAAAACCTGTAGCCCACATTTAACAGTTCAGTAGTTATGGTATGGTCTGTAGTGAATTCATGAAGGCAGCTGACTTTGGGTGAAATTAAGAAACTTTAGCCTCCTTGTACAAGACTGACCCACTTGAACAAAAGCTTCAAGATCAAATGGTGACACAACTTACTTTTCAAATAATGAATAAGTACACTAAGTTACTTGGAAATGGAGGAATACAAATGTGTGAATGTTCTGAAGGAATATGAGGAAGGAGCAAAGCCTATTTGTAGGATATTTTTATCATTCTGACTCTTACATGAAGTCATCTGAACCCTGAAATTTGATTTGAATGAGGACAGTGACATAACTGGGACTGTCTAAATCTTGTTCATAAGGTTTTTATAAGGTTAGGCTTTTATTTTATTTATTTTTATTTTTATTCCATTGCTCTTAACTAGGGCTGTGCGATGCTTCGGTCCCTGATTCGATTCAGCAGAGACTCAGTCTGACTTAGTGGCCAAATCTCTGAATAGGAATCAAATCAGAGAACCCTTTAATCTTTCCAAATCGAATCGGAACCCTTCGAATTGATTTGGAAAGATTCAGCGATTTGGACATAGAGACAGCTTTAAATGTTTTTTCTACATACCTCTAGGTAGCAGGAGGCTTGTGAATGCCGCGATGCTGGGGCGCACGGAGTGTCCCACAGGAGCATGGAGGGTTCCCCAGTGCACTTGGCAGCAGACCCAAAAGTGGATCAGAAGCACTTCGGGTCTACTTCCAGGTCCACCAGGTAGCACATGGGGGGCCCCCACCATGGCTCCCTGGTTCAGCAACTGGTACCTCCTAGGTCTGGGGGTGGGGCACCCAGGGTTCCCCTGCAGCTGATTGCTGAGTCAAGAAGGGTGTGGGGGGGGGGGGAGTGCCGTGTACTCCCTGGCGGACCCAGAAGTGGACCAAGAGTACTTCCGATCCACTTCTGGGTTCACCGCCAAGCACGTGGAGGTCCCCCCTGCACTCCTGTAGGACGTTTCATCTGCCGCAGCATTCACAACCTATGCTGGTAACTCGAGGTATGTAGAAAAAACTTTTAAAGCTATGTCTATGTCCGAATCACTGATCCTCCACTGATCCTCCAAATCAGCATTGAATCTTCAGATTCTGATTCAACTTAACTGAATCAGGGACAGTGATCCAAATCAACTAATCGAATCGCTGTCCTTGATTCAGGCTGAATCTGAATTGAATAGGGCCTGCTTCACACACCGCTACTCTTAACCATCCCTGCTAAAGAATAACCAAAACTTTTAGAATAAGGTAGGATATTTGTGAAAAGATTGGTAAATTTGTAGAACATTTTGTAGAAAATGTTCTACAAATTTACCAATCTTTACACAAATATCCTACCTTATTCTAAAAGTTTTGGTTAAAAA